TGCTAAGTGCTGTTCCATTTTCAATGCCATAGGAGTGAACAGAGCTTCTTTCTCACCATGTGAAACCCTTGTTTTTGCTCATCAAGCATAAATTATGTTACTTTTTCTGTTTCTTTTTCTGTCTTTTTTCAAAATATGGTAAGAGAAGGGTATATGGATATGCACAGAAAATATTTCTTGGTTGGTTGATTGATAGTTACCTCCTAGCTTACTCCCTTTCTTTGTGAGGACACTATATCCTTCTTTTCTGGACTGCATCTGTCACGTGCTTTCAGATCAATTGCAGGTGGGAATGAAGAATCAATTACCATCATAATTTATGCAGGAATAAATGTTAATCAATTCTTTTAGTATCCCAAAGCTAATCAGAGAAATAAGCCCTCACTAAAACCCAGCATACCAAAGTATGTTTGAACTTTCTAGGCTAAATCAATTTAGGATGACTTTTTAAAAATAAACAAAGTTCCTGATGTGGTATTTCTCCTTCCTTTCCCCAGCTCCTGTCCTTTCATAGGAGGATATGGGGAAAAAAAAAGTATATATCATACTGTCTTGGTTATTTTTCCTTGTTCGGCTTCCCCCCCCCCCTCCCCCTCCCCCCGGAAAAGCTGAGAGCAATGATTGAGAATGTCTATAGATTGATACAGAATTTGCATTTGGTATAATGGAGGGAAACAATCTATTCTTATCAGAAAAGACCTAATGCATCTCATCAGTAATGTACGCAGAACTCTTCACAGTTCTAGGGAAAATTAAGAATCCAAAATGTGGCATCTGACATTTGCTGTATTTATGCAAGTCCTCACTTTTTTTCTGCCTTATCCATGCTCTTGACAGAGAATCATGAGGAGTTTGAAATATTGGCTATAAATATGAAGAATTTGTTTTTGAAGAGCTTGAATTCTGCATTCTATATTCATTTAGGGATTTCAGACTGTTTTTTTTATCTCTGTCCCAATGTGTGTAGCTTTTGACACACTAAAAATATTTTTCTTTATGCCTTTGAGGAGCAGAACTGATGAAGCCTTGTTCTTTACAGACTTTGTGTTGTGCATAATGTTGAACTCCAGCTGCCTTTTCTCAGAAAAGGAGCATCTGATTGTCTCCACCATTCAGAAACTTTGGTATCTTAGGATCTGTAACTTCTTTCAGTTTTGCTGGAAATTTATGAGTGGGCATCCAAGCTGTAGCGTGGAGAAGTGGGAATATACTTGCACAATAACCTAAGCCATTTTTCCTGCCAGTATTGGGTGAAAGGGAAGGAAGAAGAAGGAGTTGATGCTTGTCCTAGAGAAGAGTGCTTGTGTTATAACCTGTCTAACTTTGTTGTGAAGGTAGTCTGTGGGTTTGATCTTTGTTACCCTAAAGTTGGTGCTCTTAAAGGCAGAGATTTTTGTGTTTGTGGGGTAAAGGAGAATTAGCCTGAAGTGAAGCCCCAACCTGTGAAGCATCTAGTACAAGCAGCTGGTTCCTCCAACAATCAGGTGCGAGTCCTGTGGCATGAATGTACCCAGCAAATGAGCCCTGTCAGGGATGTGCCAGAGCTTGCACGGAAGTGACTCGTAAAGCTATTCCCTTCACATCAGGTGAGCTTTGTAAATGATTAAATGAACAGTATTTCTGTGAAGCAAAGCTGCCTGGTGCCCTTGGCTGCCATGACTAACAGGAGTTAGGCTGTTACCTATACCATTCCCTTGTTGGCAGTGCAAAGGTCTGTGGATGTTTGAGCTGATGGCTGTTGAGAACACTGAGTGTGAGGGGAGGGGTCAGCTGGTGCTGAGCTGGGGCCTGGTGGGGCCAGGGTTTCTATGATGGAAAGATTAACGGCTTCTGGAGTCTGAAATTGCCTGTAAAATGGGAGTGTACCTGGAAAGAGGAGGAGGAAGAATTTTCCTTTGTAAACTCACCAGAGACAGAGGATGTAGCTGAGCTGTCAATTGACTTTTAACAGCTGAAAAAGCCTAATTTATCAAGCTGTTGCAATATTGACAGCTTCTTCTGCTTTGCTTGTGCTGTTAGCCCTTCAGTGCTCCGTTTCTCCCCTTTGTGTCTTTTACATTTTCTCTCACTGTCTAATTTGTGAGGAAGCCTTCTAACTCCTCTGATATCCTCCCTCCCCCTCCTCTGCATCCCTCTGCCGGTCATCTCTGACACGACGCCTGTGAAGACCTGCCAGTTGGGCCACATGGAGCCAGGAGACAAAATGACAAGATGTGACTTGGAAAGCTGTTCACTGAACAGGGTTTAATTTTATAAACTATTGCTTTCCTTTGCCCAACTTTCTTTCTTTCACCTGTTCCTTTTGGTGCCAGAAAAAGGCTGCAAGGTCTTAAAACAAACTCTGTGTTTCTGTTTTATGTCTGCCCAAGAGAGATATGGCTTGGGCTGCCAAGTGCTCTCCTCATGCTGGTGGTGAATCAGGAGCAGCACATCAAAGAGGTCTGGGGCAGGCTGTTCTCCACCCCTGCCACACAGGGCTCATTATCAAGCATTGAGTACTTTCTGGGTGCATACATTACCATCAGCCAGTCTCATAAAAAGCCAAGCGAGGCTCTTGCAGGATGGCTGATTCCAAACAAGCAATCATCCAAGAGGAATTTGGGTAATTCTGAGTCTTACTGAGGAGCCATGTGGAGAGCGAGAGTCACCTGCATGATGTGCATAGCTGTGGTGTTTTCTGCTGCCCCTGCAGGCAGCTTCAGGGAGATGGTAGACAGGAGGAGAGGAATATTCAGGCTGGGAACAAAAAGAAGCAAAACAAAACAAAAAAAAGCAACATGTAATGGAGTTTGTTACATCTTTAATATAGTTGACATGAATAATAATTATTAAAAAAAAAAAAAAAAAGAATTGAAATGGAGCCACTAAGGTCAGTGTTTACTGTGGGCTTAGAAAGTGTACGCAGTTTCTGTAGAATCTTCTAAAATGGCTGTATTTTAAATATGCAGCAAAATTTAGCAATATAGTCAAAACAAAGCAAAAAACTGCATCCTAAGCTAAACAATTGAAATCTGTGCATAGGCAGATGCGATGGAAATTCTGTTTATTATGTGAACATAAAGCTTTTGTTCCAGTACCCCACCAACTGCCTTTGACATGCTTGTCTGCTTCTGTTTGTGTTAAAATTGTCAGGGAGCAGCAAGGTCCCTAGAGGACAAGGAGCTGGGTGACCCCAACACAGTCTGTGCCCTCACCTAAGGAACAGTCCTATGGGGTCTGCACTTGGTGGGCAAAGCAGGGTCCATCCACAGTTCCAGACAAGGTGATTGATGACCAAGGTCTGGGGTACATCCAAAGGACCCAGCATGGAGCAAAAGGAGACAGGATCAGACTGAGGTGGCCTATTCAGGAGATAGGTCCAAGGGACATTCAGGAGGCAGAACCAGAGGCAGGGCTGGAGGCTGGTGCTTCTGTGGTGTAACAGGGGACCAGTGGCCCTGAAAATGGGTTCTGGGCCATTGGCAGTGTGAAGGGCAGTCTGGTCAGGGGTGGCAAGGACTGTTTAGTAGTGCTCACAGTGCCTGAAAAAAATAAGCAAAAATTCTCAGTCCTGGTCTTTGCTTTCTAAAGCTTGTTAGTGTCACTGTTTTCAACAGTCAGGTTGTACTCATGTGCTGTAGGGGTACCTCAGATGAACATGTCGATGCTGCTTTTTCCCATTTTGGCCGCTGTGCCTAGCTTTTTTCTCTACTGAAGTTTGTCAGCCACTGGTCCCACTAGGCCTTTTAAAAACTTGTTTTGACTACTTACTGTTTCCATATTTTTTTCTCAAACATTTGTCATGGAAATATTTCTCCTCCCAGAACTCTGATTAGTTACATGAACAGAAGTGACTTTGGTATTAATGATGCTATTATATACTACACTGAGTCCATTAATAAATTAATAATGTTGTGTCTTGTTTGTTTATAAATGAGGCTCACCAAGGGCTGTTTCAAATGAAAAATACCACTGATTGCTTGTAATTTAATCTAGTGAGTTTTTATGCATGTGAGGCAAAGGCAATTAGCCCTAACTGAGAGAGTTCTAATTCCCAACTAGATTTCAAGTTTAATACAAATAATTTAGTTAAAAATAGCAACCTGTAAATGTTGACCCCCCCCCCCCCCAAAAAAAAAAAAAGGAGTTCTGGTTTGGACAGCCATTTTTAATAGCTGTTACTGTTTTGAAATGTGACTGTCTTTATTCCTTCTTCCTGAGTGACTGAAGAGAATATTATTTTTTGTATGTATTCCTGAATTTGAAATTTATTTTTATTTTATTAACTTGTCCTAGCACCCAAATCTGGAATTCTCCTGTAATGAAAGATAAAATGTTGTTAGGCAGCACAATTTATTCACAAAAGCACGTAAACTGCTAAGTTGTGCAAGCCTTTATTTTTCCTTTCTTTCTTTGTCAGCTTTTTGCATTGTTGATTGATTTACTGTAGTGCTGCTGTCAGTATTTTACCAATAGTCTGGTAGGATCTCATGACTGGCATTTTGCCTTTTTAAAAACCATCCCATTGCTACAGTAAAGAATTTGAACCTCTAAATCAGCCATCATAGCTGTTAGCCTCCTTTTATTATTATTAATGTGCTCTTGGGAAAGGAATATTGAACGGTAATTAGGAGCAAATAAAGCACTGGAATAAGCTTGAACAGGTCAGTTTCTTGGCAAAGAGGCCTTTCATATGTTATCTTTATTTTTTTAGTATAATAATTATTAATACAGTAATGTGCATTAATTTACGTTGTCAAATGGAGTTTAAAATGCTTCTACAGATCACATTGTTAAAAAATGAGTAATTATTTGGAAACCACAGCAGCATCGTTGATGCTCAGTTTAGTTCTTAACTGCTTTATTTTAATGTTGTTACATGTTTTTGCTAGAAGTGGTAAAAATATTCTGAATATTTTTTCTGAATATTTTTTTTCACACAATTGTAGAAAAAATATGATCATATTCTGTACATTCTGTATTAAAAATGTAGACTAAATGCATTTTTATTTTATGCACAGGAAATGCTTTTGGAAGAAAAAACACTTAAGCACTGGATTATACTGTGGGACATCAGATAGTTTTACAGTATTTTTATACCTTCTGCAGGTAGGTGTATTGTTATGATCACAGACCAGGAAAGCTGATACAAAGGTGTAGGTTTATCAAGTGATCATGTAAGATTTCTCTCTTTTTAGTTCTGATGAAACAGCTTTGATAAACAAGCATTTGGAGGCTCATTGCTTTATATATCTAATAGGAATTATTTGACGTGTTCTTCTACAGACAACTTGTATGTTGGAGGATCAGGCAATATAAAGTACCTTCAATTTTTTCACTATGGAATATTGATAGTAGATTTTTCCTTCTAGTAGCATTCTGTGCATTCATTATACATATATTTGTAAGATACTCTGTTTTTTTTTTCGTTTTTTTTTTTTTTTTTTTTTTTTCTTCTCTCTCCTGAGTTTGCGCATTCCCCCTGCATTCAAACCTGGAGGTCACCACTGATATCTTTGTATATGTGGAGTAATAATATATCAGCTTTATATTTTTGAAGTCTAATTATTCAAAAAAGGAATTTTTATTTACCTTTTATTTATTTTTTTGTTTTTGTGCAATTATACAAAGGGAAAATTGTTTCAGACAGAAAGGTCTATGAACTGAGAAAGCAGTGGTGAGAATTCATTCTTCAACTGAGTGTTTTTTGTCAAAACTCATAGTTTTTTCGTTGTCATTGTGAAATATGTTCTCTGGGCTGTTCCTTAATAGTTTTTTAACAAATGTGAAGTAGAAGGCAAAGAACAGTAACAGTATTTATTTATGGTTTGTTTATTTATTTTATTTTATTTTTTTAAAAGCATTCCTTTCCTTTTCTGTCTTCATATCTGTAAGTTGCATGTGTGTATTTACACCGTCCAGGTGACAGTTGGTGGCACTTTTTCTTAGAAAATAGCAACAATTATTGTTTATTATTACTGCTTAGCCTTGAATAAATGCTTTCTCTTAGAGCTGCTACGTTAAAGAATAATGCTGTCTTAATCTTCAACAGCTTAATAGTTAATGTAAATGCAAACATGTTGAGTATTATTTAGAGGCAGCGTATGTTCTACATCTAATTTATAAATCATAAGCGTTATGAGACTTCAGAAGAGACGTTCTTTATTATTAAACTCTGAAGTATCATTTTGCTAAGAAGCCTGAGAAATCTCAACTACTAAATTTTTTAATTCAGCACAGCTTTTCTTTTCCAGAATCTAGCAGCATTACCTTGGGGAAGCTGAGATGACTGTATAAATTGAAACAGTAAGTCTACGGGAGGTCATTTCTCTTTAGGAGTATAACCAAGGGAGGTGCAGAAAAAATTCTTGAACGGGTAACGTTTTGGGAGATCACTTTATAGTGACCTCCTGATTTTTCTCTCTTAAGAAATCGGTATGTAGTAAAAATATTTCTTCCCAAACAGCCCATTTCTCTTGGCTACATTGCTCTTTGTTGTTTTGTTTCACTTTGTTTTGTTTTGATTTGTTTTCTTTCCCATGGGTGAGATGGAGAGAACAAACTGTGGAGGAGAAAATTAACAATACTTATTTTCATATGCTGTAATTCATGGATGGCAATGAAAAGTGGTGGATAAGCACAGTTTTCACTGTTGTAGAGTATGTACATTCTACTCCTGTTATCACCATAGATGTACATGAAGAAATATGTTTGACACTTAGTTGAGTGTCATAGCTGAGTCAGGCGATCACTAGCTTGCTGCTCCTTTATCAAATAAACCATGTAAGCTTTTCTTTAATGGGCATCCATATCTGTAGAAAAACAAGGACATATCCATACAAGCAACAAAAGAAAAATGCTTAGGATTAGTTCAGAATAAAACTTCTTCACCAGGTTTCTCAGGATTATTTTTAACTGTCCATTTCTGATTTGGGTTTAGAGATAGCACTTGTATGTATTTGAAGTTTTGCAGTATGCAATAGTGCTTTCTTTGTACTTTTATGTTAACTTTTTCAGGCAGATGTCTCTGCAGGAAAATTCCTGTTCAAGTTTTTTGTTTTGTGTTTTTTTTTTTTTTTTTTTTTTTTTTTTCCTTCTTCAATACAATTTCTGGCCATAATTATTTTAGAAACTAAGGACCATATTTTGCCTCTAGATCAGACCTAATGTGATCAGACCTTAAATAATTGAATCTCAAATAATGTATATGACATGGAACATACAAGTTTATATGTGACTTGAAAATTTTCTATCGTCTTGAATTTAGGGGAATTGCATTGTTTAAAGGTGCTGTGTGGGAATTATAAATGTTATTCCAAGTGATGCAATGGGATCTTATATGTATGTTAGTTACTTTTGTAATGAATTTAAATGGGTCATAAGAAGTGCAATAGTTTGGCCTTTTAAAAATTCAGCTGGGAAATTAAAATCTCTCTCTCTCCCTCTCTCTCTCTCTCTCTTTTTTTTTTAAATTGATATAAAGATAACATCTGCAGCCAGAGATCAGAAGACATGAGAGTTAGTAGCTTGTAGAAAAGTTGAGAATAGCAATTTTTTTTTTATTGCAGCACTATTGCACATTGCCTGCACCGCATTGACTGAACCTGCTGTTTGTCCCAGTGAGGCTATTTCTGTCTGGGATATTTGCAGATCAGAACCTTCTGTGAATACAAATAAGACCATACAAGTTGGATCCATGAGTAGGAAATGCAAAGATACACACCTAAATCCTTACTCACTACCTTTCAGGAGCACACAGGATAATGCCTTAGTGATTAAAAATAAAATAAAATAGAATGAAAATAATACCCAAGCTTTTCCAACTCCAAAGGGCTGGAAGCACAGTCCCACTTCCTCTCTGGCAGTACTGTTCACCACTAGTATGGAAAAATAAATAAATTATAAGGCTGTCTGCAGATGCAAAGATGGAACTGTAGCAAGAGTTCCCATTTTCAGACTTCCTTAACTAACAACTAAGCTCAGCTGACATTCAGACATCACAGCCTGAGAGGGGTACTTTAACTGTGTGCTAGTGATGACGGTGTTTTTTTTTTTTAATGGTTTGATTCTTGATGGAAATTCCATGTCAGGTGAGAACCTCAAATTTTGTGAGGCTCCTTACTTTGTCTTACAGATTGTATTTAGCTTGAGTGCAACTACATGAAGCACTGCCATGTTGTTTTCCACATTTCAGTCTTGGTTGAATGGAGTTAGAAATGAAGCTTCTCCACAAAGGGAGAAACAAGTCTGTTTAATAAATAGGAATGTATGTGTTGAACACATTGTGTATGCATTATGTGTCTCCTACGCTCCAGCAATGGAATATTTTGGGTTTTGGAAAATGTTTGAATTCTGAAAATAGCTTTTAAATTTGAAGATATTTTTGAATGTCTAAGTGTTTCTGTTTTCCTTGGCACCCTAATTTGTCCTGTGCCCCCCATCATGCATTCCTCCTTCTTTCACCAGATAAGGATTTCATGGTGCCTCTAGTCGAATGCCAGGAGAGGTGGCATTTCATGGTGAAAATGTGTAGGGAGATCTTTTACTGAAGATCTATTAAAAAATACTAGGAGGAGCTGCAGGGGAGAAAAAGCAGTTTTGTCTTTCTTACTGCTTTTTTTTTTTTTTTTTTTTTTTTTTTTTTTTTTTGACTCACAGAAATCTTATTTGGATCTTCAGGGATTTTGGAGAAATTCTGTCAAGAAACAGAAATGGCATACAAGCTGTGAGAAGTATTTGTACCCCCTTCACCAAAATATGTTCCTAATGCAACAAGAATTTGAAGGCAGTTACTTGTGAGCAGGTTGGGTCAACCCAGAGATCAGGTCATCAGGCAAACTTGTGGTTATAGCGACAGGCTGAGTCACCTTCCACTTTTCTCTTTGTTCTCGCCTGAAATGTCAGTTCTTAAGAGCCCTGTCTTCCCCAGCTTGGCTCTGCATTGGCACTGCGATAGGTAAGTAGCTCTCAAAACTGCTTCTCTGTTGGCTCAGGTGCTTGACTGTGTTTTGAAATACCTGATCTTAAATATCTACCTTTAAAATACTGCATTTAAAATAAATTCACGTGAGAGCCATGAGTCATGTTTGCAAGAGAACCACAGTAATCTTTTCCTAGTTAATTCTAGAAGACATGAAGTGTGCATGCGTGGAGCAGGTTATGAGGGTAGAAAACTCAGACAGGGCACTGCAGGATGCTCTTAGAACAACCCCTTCCCCCCACCTCTTTTCTAGACATTTACAAAAATAGAAGAAAATCTATCTCTAATAAAAGGAAGAGCCAATCATTCTTAATAATTGGCTTTTCAGTTAAATTTACAGTACATTAAAAAAAAAAAAAAAAAGGCCATTCTGAAGCTCAACAGTACCTTCATTTTTCTTCATTTTTCTCATGGTTGCTTCATAGGTAAAAAGAAATACTTTTTTTTTTTTTTTTTTTTTTTTTGTGAAGCTTGTGGGAATATCTCCTTTTCCTTCTTTCTCTACCAGTTTCAGCAGAATGAACCTGATATATATTCCCAAGAAATTAAATACACTGAGAACTGTGGAGTTTACTCTGGAAGAACTTCGGAACATTAGAACATTTCCCCTCCATTTTCTTTCTCTAATAAAAAAATACTTTTTTTTTTTTTTTTTTTTTTTTAATCTAAGGCAGTCTTTTGTTAAAATGGGAGGTTGTCCTGATGTTTTTAACCAGATTTTTCTTCTCACTTGCTACTTACTGTGTCATTGGGTGACTGCGTCTTAACTATGCCCCTCTAGCTACAAGATGTCCGTTTTATACTTTTGCTGTAATATGTTTATAGTCTTTAGAGTATTTTAATCTCTTCAAAGACAAAAAAAAAATCTTAAAAATATAACATTCACTAATATTTTGCATTCCCATTCCCTATATTTTACCAGATAAATCTAATATGCTTTTGTCCTTTATGCATTTAGTTTTTATTATATCATAGGTTAGAATTGTTAGAATTATATCATAGGTTAGAAACCTTTTTATATTCCTGGGATTAGGTCTGGGATCAGAGACTGCCCAGTGATTGCCCAGCAAGTCCACAGTGAGTCAGGGCAGCTCTGAAGCCAAGCCAGGGGGGTCTGGGCCCAGGTGAGAATGAGGGTGGTGGGAGAGAGCCCATCAGCAGTGTGGCAGAGAGGGGACCCAGCAGAGCAGCCACAGCCAGAAACCTGGGGTAGCCCCTCCTTTCTCACTTTCTTCACAGCTCTTAACAGCAACAACTGGATGTGGGCTCAGACAGCTAAACCAAATTTAGCCAGCTTAAACTCCACCATCAAGATGTGATCAGAGCCCTGATCTCATGTGTCTAATTCCTTCTCAATAGTGAGACTTCCTAGTTATCAAATCACAGTGTCTCAGAATGGTTGATATTGGAGGAGACCTCTGGAGATCATCTAGCCCTGACCTCTGCTTGAGCAAGGTCATCAAGAGCAGGCTGCCCAGGACTGTCCAGATGGCTTCTGAATATTTCCAAGGATGGAGATGAGATAAAATTAAAAGTTGGATTGGATCCTGAAGCTTTGGCACCCAAGAGCTAATTAGCCACTTCCAGATTACTGGTAGTTATCTACATTCAGTGTAGGCCAATAGCTCCAGCCTCTCCTAGACACAGCTGGAAATGCTGAGAAAAAAAGAAAAGCAGTGGACAACATTATTTTATTTCTCTCTTGGCCTAATTCTTTATTTGTTTTCCTTACTCACTCTTAGCATTGAGGTTCAAGCAGGTAGTATCTGAGTGACTTCCATCTCCCATCCTCTCTTACGCAACACTAATATATGGTTTTATGTGCAATGATGAGGTATCTGAGCTTATCATTTCTTTTTAGCTGAGCTAGAAGCCCATGTCATCAAGAAAAATATCAAAAGTCAACTTCATAGTATGCCACTAACCTTGTGTGTTGAATAAGAGTTTTCTTATTTCTTAGGAGACTAGTGTTATCACGTATTCAGCTGCATGTTTCTGGTGTTTTCAGTTTTGTTCTCTGGAAGCTGAAAAGAAATATTTCATTACTTGTCTGCTAGAAATGATCCTGTTTGATCTTCATCATGTTTGTCTGACTGTGTGCATATGTTTTTAGAAGCAATTTTTAAATATACTTAGTTTTTCTTTGCATCTTGTTATTTTTTAATCAGGAAGTCTGTAAATGAATAAAGTCAACAAGTCACCAAAAGAAACCCACAACAAACAAACTTGAAAAAAGTGCTAGAAAATCAGTCTGGTTCAATTTTTTTTTATTATTATTATTATTTTAATATATATATATATATATATAATTATTATTTTTTTTAAT